GCTTCACTCATTGCAGGTGCAGTTGGGGGGTAATCAGAAAGGGGTTGCTTCACTGTTGTGAAATCATGTGTTTAGGCTTTTCGATGTTTTCTGGTTCTGTTCATTTTTAGCGAGCTGCAAACACATCGTCAGGGTTTTGCAAGCCCATACCCTTGGGGTAGTAAAGTTGGGAAATCGGGATCTGAACCAGGAGTTTTAATCTCGGATTCCAAAGACCTTGAAGAAAATGCTTGACAAACGGGGAAACATCCGGAGAAGGCCCTGTCATCGATTCGCCTGGTTTTGTAGAACAGGGTTACCCACTTTATGGGCGACTGGGATTTTACTGGGATGGTCACTAACCGCTTACGAGCTACCCTGCCCTCCTTTTCCGCATTTTGAGCAGCACCGGTTGTTGTATTCTTCTAGGGTTTGATTCCAACCATTCTTTTCCAGCATCGTTCTTTCCAACAACCGGATCCGTTGTCCTTGGGTTTCCGGAGGTTTTCTAGAAAGAAGGATCCCTGGAAATGGAAATGGAAGGGTTTTCCTCGAATTCTTTGCAGGGTGTCCTGAGCGAAAGCTTATTCAACGCGCTGTCGCTGGTCTGCTCCATGGCGGAGCATGTGGAGGATCAGGAGACCAGCAAGCCGGCGCTGATGCCGCTCGGCTCTCCATCCGCTTTCGGGTGCCGCGATTCGAGCCGTTCCAGGTATATACCTATGCACATATATATATATATATATATGTATATGTATGTATTAGTATACATATGTACATATACATACCCTGTTTGAAGCCAGTATAGCCATTCCTGTTGGTGAGGTGATGGGGGAAGTACCCTTTCCAAAATTGTTTTAAAGTGAAACAAGGGGAGCACCTCTTGGCAGGGCATGGGTTCTCCTAGGATCGTTCTCTGTTTGGAGGTTTTAAAGATCACCGTTGTTGAATATGCCGACTTGGGTTGTGTGGTTTCAATTTAAACCGGTCCTGAGAGGTGTTCTGACGGAAACTCAATTGATAGAGCCAAAAGTCAAGGTTGTGGGTCCAGTTTCGTCTTGGCCAGGTCTTTCTGGTTTCCCGAAGGGAGATGTGAATGTGTTCGAGCCACATGTGGTTGACTGGGAAATCAATCATGCGAACCTGACCAAGCCGGGATAGGCGTGGCGCTTGCCCCAACAGATAGCCCTTGGATTCGAACTGTTCCTGGTGTCTAAATGGGAATTCCCTTTGCCAGGTAAATAAATGCACTTTTGGTAATGGGTCACTGTCTATCGTCTATCCTTAAGATCTCGCTGAAAAAGTCATGCAACACCTGTGAGCGAACGCCACCTTGAGGCGAAACTCTGGTTTTGTTCAACCCCGTTCCTTGCATTCGTCTCTGAAAACAGATCCCTAAACTGGTGGGCTTCCGTTCGGTTTCTCTGCTATAGGGGAACCTCACATGAGCGCTCACATGATTTGAAGCCTGCAGTCCTGGAAAGAAACGAGTTCACAGAGGGGATGGCTTCAGAATTTGAGCCCGAGGCCCCGCAACGATTCCAATTTGCAGACAACCCCCCATTGGAGTCGGCAGATTTTGCGGAATCTCACGAGCATGTCTAGGGGAACCTTAGAGCTTTCTTTCCAGGCATCCTTCTTTCTAAAAATCCACCCAAAAAGTTCTGGGGAAACAGATCCGGTTTTTTCAAAGAAGGATGGTTGAAAAGAATGGAAAAGGAAAATTCCAACCATCCTTTTTAACCATCGTTCTTTTCCAAAGCCGGCTGTTTCCAGTTGGAATCAACCCCCTGGAGGATTCCTCGAGCTTGGCCTCACTCGCCCTGCGTTATGTGCACTGGACACACGCTGGTAGATGGTCGTAGCGGATCCCACTCACCGGAAACCATCTACAGGTGTGTCGTTTTAAGGTTGTACCTCCCCCGCCAAAAAAAATAAATAACTGATGGTTGTTCCTGCTAGGTTCCCTTTAAACCCACCAAAATGGAGGTTTCCTCAAAAGAAGACACACCCAAATAGTCCGTTGTCGCAGCTGTCGTTTTGCGGGGTCGTTCTAAAGTGTGGGAAACCCCTTGGTTACCTCCATGAAATGGAATCACTGGGCGTTGGTACTGATGTGATCGTTCAGAAGAGCCCTTTTGCTCTTGTGCTCAGTTTTCGAGCGACTGCAAAGAACCTCAAAACATAAGTGTGCTGTCCGTGTGTGTGTGTATATGTGTTTCTTTCGCTCACACACCAGGGATTGACATACCATATGTTACCAGGGCTTGGGAAGAACGGCACACCGCTCATGTTGCGTTCCATATGCTCAGGTGGTTATTGAGAGATTTCCTTCTCGAGCTGGTGGACGAAGAGGGTCGAAGGATAACGCCCGATGAGCCGCGGGCTCATTCGAGCAAAGTCAGAGCGAACGCCAAGTCGGAGCATCTCACCCCGTTACTTCTCCAAATCCGTTCCTTGCAAGTGAGGACAGTTGTCAGCCAATGTCCATGATGGCATTCGGGAGGTATCTCGAGTCCTGTCTTCGAAAGACGCCCACGGGGGCGGACACACAGCGATCCCAAGCTGTCCTTGCCTTAGATGCTGTCTGCACTAATTATAGTGAGGTTACTTGGAGGTAAGATCCTACTACGGGATTCCTTCGTTGAGGTCGGTCACTTCAACTAGTTAATGCAGATGCTGTTCAGAAGCGCAAGAGTGATTGCGCAACCATACTTCATGATACCCTTAAGGGGACTCCCCTTGAAAGCGACTAAGTAGTTAGAGGGAGGAGGAATCCTACTTTGGCATCACAGACATATCATTGTTGTTGGTGGTTCCTAGGCATCCCCTTAGGTTGTTAGTTTGTTTTTTGGTTGGTTTAGCATTTAACATCATGTAACCCACATTTTAACAACTTTTATCAGATCAGAAAACTGACAGCCCAGTGTTGACAACCCTTGCGACCCTTGCGACGCTGCAATTGCTGATCCGCTTCGTCCAGCATTCACAGAGGCCTTCTGGAAGCTTTCACGTCAGTCTGAGGGAGTACAGCAAACAGTTTGGATATGTGTTTTTCTGGAGGCCAGGGCTGGTTCAGTACTCAGGGGAAGTTGTGTGTAGGTACCTTGTGGAGGATTCACTTCCTCCAAACCGCTGGGAATGTGCAAAGACGCGGCTGAGGCTAGAGAGGTTCGAGAGACGTTGTTGAGGCCACTTCCGCCATCGTCACAGACGTCTTTCAGCTGATCGTCATCCCCTCAATGTATAGTAGGGGGGTACATCCATTTATGGTAGGATATGGAAAACAATGTGTAGCCAGGGCCTCCCTCATCCACTTAGGGGTGGCGATGTGAAAGAGAATTGCCGGCCTGGCCAGGTGTTTCCCGCGACGGCAGTGTGCAACTCTATGTCAGCCAGTCATTGCGCGCCCGCCTGTTTAAGCCCTGATGGGCCGAATCTGGCGAATCTGGTTCCCAAGTGTGCCGTTCACTGTTCGCCATGGTCCCAAGAAGGGTAGCCTTTTGTATTTCCAGGTCCTTTGGGCAAGTGAGGTAAGTGATGAGTTTGAGGTCATCACCCCATCGCCAGTGTGGTCAGAAATATCTCCGGAGCCGCGCGGTGCATTGAAGAAGCTAAACTCAGCTGGTATCCCCAGCAACAAGGACCCAGAGCCCTTCCAGAACCAAGCCACAAATGCCCTGTTCCCCGCTCCGGACTGCTCCGGGACCCGTGCTGGGCAGAATTCCAACCGCTTTCAGCGGTTTGGAACAATTCACACCCATGGGCCAGAGGCTCGGTCTTTTAGTTTTGATGGATCGGTTTTGCGTCCAGTTGCCCTCTTGGGAAGAGGACACCGGCGATTTGTTTGTTGAAACCGATTGGCTTGGGCGGCTCTGGGCGCCCATGTTTTCACTGCCCAAAGCCTTGCAGTGGCTTTTCGCAACTGGTTGGTTCTCCGGAAATATTTGTGGGCCGATGTGTTGGCAGAGGGCTTGGGCAGATTCGACATTGCCAGACTTGGCTCAACATTGAAGCGCCTTCCGCAACTCCATGTTTTCCCTTTAGCCAGCAAGCAGTTCACTTTGGAATGTGTCCAAATAGGGCCTTCTCAGGGAACCCCCAACCCCAAAAAGGTGCCTACCCTCAAACCTTTACCTAGTGGGGAGTCCACCCGTGCGTCAACTTTGAATGACTGCCAGGAGGAGGAGCAACTGCGGCAGCTATCTGAGGCCGAGTGGGCCTTGCAAAACAAAGGGAATATCAGTGTTTCTAAAATGGTGGAGCCCCTTTTGAAGGAAAGTCAAGAGTTTGAGGCTACCAACAATTGACCAAAATTGGAACAAGCGAATTCGGCGGTTGCCCGGTTTGGGGCTAGTACCGGGCAGTTCGTGGAATGGCTCAGGACCCTCCCAAACATGGAACCCACTGAATCCCCAAACGTCTTTCCGTACAGACAGTTGTGATGAAGGAATTTCCAACCATCCCCTTAGCCTTTTAGCTTTTTATTGTTTAGTGGGGATTTCCATGTAATCCACCAAAAGTAAAACTTTCAGCAGGGGATCTGAGGGCAGCCCAGTTGTGATGAAGCAGTTTCCAGCCACATGTTGGCCCTCAGAAACAGACGCTGCAGCTTCAGTTTCGGGGCGCGTCGGGTCCAAAAGGTTGCCAAAGAGGAAAGAAGCAAGCACCCCAAGCCCCAACCGGCCATTTTTGGTGGCTCACTTGTTTTAGTGGGGGAAATATCTTAGAGCCTATACCTTTAAAGCTATCCAAGCAGCACACGTGACTTTTTTTGTGCGAATTGAAAGGCGAGAAGTTTGGCAGACGTCCAAAAAGGACAGATATGGGACAGATGGCACTAACTGTTTGGAACCAAACTGAAACCGTCTTTGGAAAACTTGTGATAAAGTAGTCATGGGAATAAGCCACTTTGGTATCGGAACATGGCCGTTCTTGCCCGGAGAGACCTGGAAACACCTGGCTTTTTCAGAACAACCTATAGGTGCTCGCCCTTTTGCTCCTTCGATTCGGGGGCGGAGAGAGCAACACTCCAGCGTTTCCCTCCCAAACCTTGCGCAAGAAAATCGCATTGCATGTGGCCGCTTCGCCTGAAAGAATTGCCGAAATGTCAACAAGTCAAGCACCTGTTGTTCATATCTTCAGAGCCCTGCTTATTGATCCGCTTGGTTTTTCTCTCTAGGACCTCAAATGTGTGCGTGTGTGTGTGTGTTGAAAGATAGGTGAACCCTCCCCCCACAACCATTGTTTTTCCTTGTGCGCTCTTTCAAACCACCCTCAAACAAAACAATGATGGACCCCCCCCACACAAGAAATAAAGAAACGTGTTTCCTTCGGTGTCCCTTTACTTCCTTTTGCTTAAGAATATTTGTTGATCTTCCCCTGCTGATTTTAATGGGAAACTATCACCACTGGAAATATGTTCATTTTTTCCAGGGGAGTTAAGCAAATGGATGTTTAAAACCCTCTCCAAAACGGGCCACCCTCCAAAAAAGCATCACCCGCCAGCCCCAGATTAGCGCACCTTCCCTCGTGGCCGCGTCAGGTACCCTTTGAGCAGCTGCGTGTGGACTTTCAAAGAGCCTTCCAGGAGCTCTAACGGTCGATTCACAGGGGGGTGGTTCCATTATTAGGGGGGTGGCCTCCAAAAGTGGTCTGAATCCCCACTAAAAGGGGATTCCCCATTCCTTTCAACCATCATTCTGTTCAAAACCCGGATCCGTTTGCCTGGGTTTCCGGAGGTTTTCTAGAAAGAAGGATCCCTGGAAAGAATGGACCTGGAAGGTAACACTAGAGGAGCCGGGGAAGCGGGGGTCTCACTTCCAACGAGTTGTTCTTTTTCGGACTTGCGTCACTTTTTGGGTTTGGTGGCCGTAGTGGTAAGCACAAAGTCCGGTGTCTTTGTTTGGGCCGTCAACTCAAGTGAGTGTATGTTGCAGCCAAGGAACCCTAAGAAAGCAATACCCTAAACGAAGGTGGCACAATGAACCCGTGTCCATGGTACGGGGGGGGGGGTTTTGGGGGGGCGGTAGGCGTGGCTTGGCGGTTCCTGGCGGCATCTGGTTCCTTAGGTGAAGAGTTGTCTTGAGTTGATTACTTGTAGCAGCTGAAAACATACACCCAGGTAAGAGGCCGAGAAAAAAAAAAAAAGGAAAAAAAAAGAAAAAAACACGCTATTTGGTGGGTTCCCTAGTTTTAGGGCACCAGATTGAACCTTGGAGCAGAGATGAATTGATCCCCTCTTCGTGCCATGTATCCCCGGGCTAATTTCAGATGTGGGATTGCAAGACTGACAGAGGGATACTTTTGTGTGAGCCTAACCCAGAATCAAGTCACTATCACATGAGCGTTCGTGCGCCCCACCAAACTCGCTCAGTTCAACTCACTTCTTATTTTGGCTACAGCTTTGGGGTTGGGTCCCGGTTTCACGTCGAACCACCCCGGAAGGGGTAAATGAACCCGGAAGCCGACCCAGACCTGTGCCCGTTTGTCTTTTGTTTTGTTTGAAGGGTTCCCCAGGTTTTTTTTTTTCCAGAGTGCCGTACCTTTCTCTTCAACAGAAAGGAGTCGAACCAAAGGTCAGAACATGTTTACGGTTTGGGGGTGGCTGGAACATCACCCCTGCTAGGTTGAATGGATCTTCCTCCTCGGGTCAGGTTAGGTGACCAATTAAGATCAAGTAACCTTGTAAAGGGTTTCACGAAGCTCGTCTGTCCAGGTTATTTCTTGGGTGGTGTCCAAGCCAAGGTTTGGTCTGTGCGGTAGGAAAGGTTTGGGGATCCGTGGGAAGTCTCCGAGGGATTTGTTCCATGCGTTCGTAGCGTGGATTTGGCTCTCTGAATTGCAGGGGTTCAACTCGATGTACCCGGTTGGACCTCCCTACAGGTTAGCTACGTACGGAAGCATCTAACCAGGGGCCAGGGGTTGTGTCTTCCTTTTCTGGGGCTCATTTCCAGAAGACATACGTGACATACCCTCATGCGAGTTTTCGTTGTAGCGTCTTAAAATTGGGGCGGGGGGGGCCTTTTGTGGTACCATGGGTAGGTCTTTTTGGGGACCCCTCAAAATCGCGGTGTTCCTCTTGGTCTCCCCTGAAACAAAAAGCAACAAGCGGGTACCCTGCAAAAGGACACACCCCATGTATCCAAAAGCCGACCTTTTTTCCATCGGCGGCAACTCTTGTGCACCGGGCCGCTGAGGACCTTCAGAGCCAGCTGCTTCGTGGCAGCCCGAGCTGTCGTGCATGAACATGGAAAGCCGAAAGCCGTCGAAGAAACAAAAATATGCAAGAAAAGGACCAATTCTTCTTTCTGGGTGTTTGTCCAGATGACCTCACCCTGCTGCCCTATCGCCTGGGAGTTCCGCCATTCCGCAAAAGGTTCATGTAAGAGGGGAACCATGGGCGAACCATGAAGGGGAACCTCAGGGAAACCCCAACGCCTCGTTGCCCCCACAGCCGAGGCCTTTCCAAGACGCATCCCAAGACCATCCAAGGCGCGGGTCGATGGCAAAAGCGTCACTGTTGAAATTGGCGGTTCGGAACCAGCCGTCCGGTTCCTTAGGTTTTTAGTGGCTTTCAGGTGGTTTAGTGGTTGGGTTTCGATTTAAGTTAAGCTTTTAGTAGGGGATCTGAGCACAGCCCAGTGAAGGTGAAGAAGGGCGACTCACAAAGCACACTCTTTGTGCGTCCTATTTGGGACACACCTTCATATTTGAGCCGTAGCGGCCTCGCCCGGAGTGAACTGCGACCATCTAAGACCAAACTCACTACCCCCAAAACACTACCCCCAAAAGCCCACATTTTGTGCTCCAGCGGACCCTTCAAACTGCTTGATGTTTGAAATGATTTGCCTGCAGCTGCGTGGCCCCTAGAATGGCGAGTCCCTACCAGCACAGTTCTTCAGAATGGCTTAGCCTGGTGCCCGTCTACCTCGTGGCTAAAAGTGGTGAACTTTTGTGGCGATTGTCCCGGTATTCGAAAAGCAACTTTGGGGCTGTTGCCACCCACACCGACTCCGGAACTCCCGCACTATCCCCGCGCTACCGCCCCCAACTACCCCCAAACTGGGGGTAGTGGTGTGATTCATCTTTTTCACGCGCATACCAGGTAACGTGTGACTACCCCCAAATCCCCCAGTCAAATCCACTACCCCCAACCGCGCGTTTGTGGACTCACTACCCCCAAAACCGAGGATGTGGCGGTCCCTCCAACGCGACATGATCAAAGCAGCAAACCAAACTGGCTGCCAAGAAAGCAAAGCTTTGATGTTCACCTTAAACAAAGATACCGGCGCAAACCAAGCGTTGATGTTCACAAGTTTCACCGTCAAACTGATAGCAGCGAACCCGGATGAAACACATGCCGCAGCTCCAGAATTACCTGGTTTCTGCAGCAGCCAAATATGCACAAATTGAGGCGCCCTCGTATAACCCTTATATAACCCTTTCCTAACCTTTATATACCCTGTATATATCCATTGGCTTCTGAGGGTAGTGGTTTGGGGGTAGTCAATGTAGTCTTAGAGACCATGGCAAAGGTTTGCGACATCTAGGTGTGATGTGTGTCATAGGAAGAGACGGGGAGGTCCCCAACGGTCCCTCACAACGGCCCTTTCCGTAAAGGAACCAGGAAGTTCTACAGGGAGTTAGCCAAAGACCTTCAACAAATCACCAGGAAGAGTGGGGGGGGGGGGGTTCCCACTAGGACTAGCGCTCTCGGAATTCCAAATGAATCTCGAGCACTTCTGAGAAGCTCGCTTTCCCCAGTTCTGGTTGCTTGAACAACCTTTCTGCCGGAGGACCAGTTTAGTGGTCGAAAGGTTCAGTTTGTTTTGGGCCAATCCGCTTAGGACGTGAGTTTTTGGAACCACCCCACCCTTCGCCAACAGAAATATGGCAAGAAACCGAAAGTGGCAAGTGAGATCTGGGTCTCGGAGGTCCAATCCAACTTGTACGCTCCCCAAAATGGGTGGGGTTCCTTGTGGTGTCCCTTGTAACACCAGCCAAAATGAATCCAGTTCCTTGTGGGGTGTTGGCTTGTCAAAATAGTGATTTGGTACGTTGACTTGTTGGGAACATTATGAGTTTCCCATCGCAAAGTTTGTCCCGTTTAGGAATCCTTCTCGGCTTCTTGTTCGCCCTTCAGGTGGCAGGATTTTCGCACGGTTTGTTTTTGCCACGCAGTCGTGACTGTTTCTTTTTCAAACTGGATTTATTTTGGCTGGTGTTGCAAGGGACACCACAAGGAACCCCACCCATTTTGGGGGTACCAAATCAGTATTTTGACAAGCCACACCCATGGAAAGTTTATCCCTAAGGGGCGGTCCAAGGCGGGGGGGATTCCCTAAGCCTCCCGAAGGACCTTAGAGAATCGTAAGGAATTGTAAAGGAACACTAAGGAACTCGAAATGGGCTCTCAACCCAGCACCCTTGTACCTCCCCCCCGACTGGGATTCCAGAAAGCGCAGGCAAGCCTGTTTGTGCCGCGGATTGGGCGGCGATGCTGCGGAAGCTGGTGAGAGCACTCAACGAAGGACACGCGCGGAGACCCGGATGGCAACTCCAGATGCTCAGTTGCCCAAAGCCGACCTTTTAACCTTTTGGTTTTCTCGTTTTGGTCCATTTTAGTCATGGTCCCAAAAAGGGTAGCCTTGTATTTCCAGGTCCTGGGCAACTGAGGATGAATTCAGGTTCTAGTGGGTCTAGTTTTGGACGGGAGCCATAGCCTATGGCCCAGGGCAAAGTTCATCCACAATCAACATTAGGCACCAATTCAGGTTCTGGTTGGCTTTTTGTTTTGGTGTCCCACCACTAAAAAGGGGTTATCACTATTTATCCTGGCCCTGGTTGGTTTGTCTTGGGCGTCAACATTAAGCAGCACTTTCAACCATGAACCCCCAAAAAAACGGATGGGTGTTCCTTTCAACCAATTTGCAAAGGGTAGCTACCTTCAAAACACACAGACACACCCATACTTCTCGCACCTTCTTTATCCTTTTGCTCTACAGCAGAAGTCTCACTTTTTGCAGAAATCGGATCCTCTCGTTTGGCCAAGTGCAGAGTTGTTTCTCGGTTTTCGACTGCCTCCTTCCCCGCGACCGGAGGAAACTCACGCGTGGTTTTGGAATCCCAAGAAGGGCATGCCAAGTTTGATGCTTAAGGGTTCCAAGTTACCCACGTACCAACTGGGGCCTTTGAAAGGGTAGGTGTTCCTTTTGGTTTCCCTTTAACGCCACCAAAGAAGGGCTGCCTTCAAAAAAGGACAGACCATGACAGACCATGACAGACCCGAATCGAATGTCCCTTTTCAGCCCGTACATCACCTTTTGTGCCGCCTGAGTTTCCTGGGTCGCTGGCTTTGCGGGAGGGGGCACCGCCTCAGACTGAGGCCATGAACGTTGGCAATGCGTGGACCCAGGCTGGTGCGCTGAAAGCCTGGGTGTGTGATCTAAACCCGGACCAAGGTTCGTGGGTGGTCGATTTCGGATGTTTTTGCCAAAAGTCCTGGAACCAAAATGTCCTGAGTTGGTTTGCAACACCCAGTTGTGTGGCTGATTCTTGCCAGGTTTGACCTTCAAACGTTCGCAAAACCAAGTTGTGTGGCTGAATGGGAAGGTTTGACCTCGAAACGTTCCAACCTTTGAAAAACGAAGGTCTCCGGAAACTAGCAGAAGCGATGGGGGTCGGCGACCCATCAAGGTTGGACCTTTGCGGTGCCTTGACAAACTTAGGTGGATGTCGAGTCTCACGCGGCTCTTAGAACATCATGCGCCATCAGGCTTCCATGCGGAAAACGGGGTTCCCTAGTTGTCCAAGCGGAAAATTGGTGGAGGGCACTATGTGTCAGCCGAGGGATTGAACGTTCTGCAGCCCTAAGTCCAGCCCATGTTTCACATGCAAATGGAAACCGGGAGTGGGAATTGCGGTTGTTTCTCCAGAAGCCCGATTAAACACCATGCAAGGTTGATTGATGTTAGCATGCCATGTGGTTACCCTTTTCGGGAGCAAAGGGGAAATAGCAACGGAAAGTGTTTCAAATCCCTTTGCTACACCCTCCAAAAGGTTTGTTTAGAGACTTCCCAACAAAAAGGACACCCCCCTCATGTCAGAAGAATTTAGTCAGGTATCTCCCACCCCCCACCCCCAATTCTTGGGAGGGCGAAAAACAAAACCAATGTGTTGTTTCATTCCTTCAAAAATAAGGACACCCCCCCCCCATGTTCCAGAAGAGTTTCCAGGAGTCTCTAAATGCCCCCCATTTACTTGTTTGTTTGGGAGGGTGGGGGCAAATATATATATATATATATATACCACAAGCCGGTTTGCCCCTCGGCCCAAGCACAAAGCTCCGAGCCACGCGCCGCCGAAAGCAAAAGCGGCGAGGTGCAGCACACCGCCTGCGAGGACCTCGCCCTGGAGCTGCGGGCCTCCTGCGCGCAGCAGCTCCGACAGGCGAAACGGAAGCGGATCTCCCAGCGCCGAAACCGCCGAAGAAGAAACGCTCAAGAGCACCTCGTGTTTTGTGTTTCTCTTAGCTTTAAGGAGCCGCTTGAGGTTGTTTTTGTTCGTTGTTCACCCCTTTTTCACGACCTGTTTGAACTTGTAGTTTGTTGTTTGGCGAGTCTTAGCTAGCTTTTTGAACTTTCTGTCAACTGTTGGTGTCCCTCCAAGAATTGTCCAACACCTTAACTATAAAAGCCTGTTGTTTTTTCTCTGTGTTGGTTGAACCATGAATAAAGCGGCCCCAAAAGGTGAATCATATTTTTTATGTTAAAGTCCCTAAAGGGCAACTGAGCGAAGGGGATACTGCCGTGCTTCTGTGGGCAACTGAGATCGAGTTTTATATTATTTTCTTCGTACCCTTCTTGGCACGGAGGAAAACCAAGAGGAAAACTGCAATTTGATGGGGGGGATATGATGGACACTTAGGGTCTTTTTTGCAATCTCCTTCATTTCGGGTATTGTCCATGGCACAGGGGGGGGTCCCTATATTTTCAGCCGCGGCCGAAAAGAAGAAAAGCGACGCACGGATCTTTCTTCCCATCCGATCCATTGCGCAGGTCAAGGAAACCGCGGCGCTGGGCAAGCCTGGGACAGAGTGATCGCCTGGATCTGGGTAAAAGCAAAAGAGCTTGTGAGTCAAGAGGTGTGTGAAGTATTTCTTTGTTCCCTTCGTGTAAAAGATGGAGGCCTCAAAGGCTTGTATGAGAACGGTGTTTTTTTTTGCGCAGGTCAGTTTGAGTGAAAATGCGGGGTGGGCTCGCCCATCAAAGTAGGACGCACCCCGAATGGGGTTTTGGCGTGAGTGCGCCATGTTGTGCTTGCGTGGCTGCACGCGTGCGCACGTGCTTCCTTGCTTCGCGCTTGCTGCGAGTTGTTTTGGATTTGCCGCGTAAGTTTTTAAGTTAGGCTCTAGGGGGTAGGGTCCCCTCTGTTGTGTCAGATGGGTTCCCCCCGGTTTCTTTGGCTAAGGGTAGCTTAAGATGATGTGGCATGCTTGGAACAGTCAGTTGCAACAGCATGCATTCACAGTTGATTTTTGCAAGACTGCTTGGCATGTTCACCGGTCGGCTTGACATGGTGAAGATACATGGGATTTGCAGTCTGGCCCTATTTTTGACAGGTGGGGACCTCACTGTCGTTGCAACGCGTTGCGCGCCATGGGTGAATCGCAGACACTGGCGAGTTTGTGGGATCCCTTGCCAGATGCAGTGAAACTGGTATTGGCTGGTACAGTGGAGCTGCCGTCATGTCATGCTTTGGCCAACTTGTTTGACTCTGAGGAGGACATGCTGACAGCCGTTGCTTTGGCACCTGCTGATGTGGTGGCAGCACACCTGGAGAAGTGCAAAGCGTTGGTGCAGCTGGCAGCGGATCTGTCTGACAGGCAGGTACGGCGGAGGGTCAGGGTGCATCCTTCCTTGATGAGGTTGGAGCTGGAAAGACTTGATGCCTCGCTCATGAGAACAGTGGAGCAAGGGTCTTTGGACTGGTTGCTTACATCCTCGGGGGCAAAAAGGACGCAGGACTTCATTCGGGGGTCCAGGAGGCCTGATCAGCAAGATGCAGATCCGGAGGTGCGGCGGCGCATGGAGGAGGAGTTTTCGCTGCGGTGGAGGACCAGGCTGGCTGAAGTGCTACAGTCATTGAATTTGCCAATCTCGGACATTGCAGAGGCGTCCCAGAATCCCCAGCAGGTTTACATGGCAGCTGCAGGGGCTATGAGGGGCAGCACCATCAGGAAGCGGTTGAGGGCATGGTCCAAGTATGCCGAGTGGCTGTTGGTGGTGTGGCAGATGAAGTTTCCCACGGAACCCGAGCAGGTCATTGATTACCTGCTGGATTTGGAGGCTGCATGCTGCGGGGTGACGGTTCCACAGGCGGCGTTGGATGCAATTCATTTCATGGAGACATGCGGTGGGTTTAGAGAAGATGTCAGGCTCACAACACATCCACTGGTTCTTCGGACGCTGAATGCAGTCAATGCGCATTTGCAAGCTGGTGCCCAAGCTACACGCAAGGCTGGACTTATCCCCATCATGCTGGTTGTTGCATTGGAGCTGACGGTGGTAGATGGGACTGAGAAGCCTTATGTGAGGGCGCTGGCATGGGTCAGATTGCTGAAGCTATGGGCATCATTGAGGGCTGACGATCTTGCCGGGCTCAACCCCAGGTCACTCCGTATGACATCTGCTGGTTTGTCGGGAAGGCTGGAAAGGACCAAAGCGAGTGGGCCTGGGAAGAGAGTACGGTTCCTCCCGATCTATGTGAGCAAGATGGCATATATTGCAGATCCAGACTGGCTCACGGTCGGGCTGCGCATTTGGGAAAGTCCGAAGTTTTCCTTTGATAGGGATTATTTTGTGCCGCTTCCCCAAGGGGATCTGACTGGCTGCAAGAGTGTCATGGCCACTTACAAGGACATGCTGAGCCACAACAGGGCGCTCTTGATGCGACTTCGCCAACCAGTGGTTAATGGGACCACCTGGGATTTGGCACAGGGGAGCCTTCTCCTGGATGGGCGGGTGGCGTTGTTTTGGACAGAGCATTCAGAGCGAAATTGGGCCACTTCAGTCGCAGCTGCATTGGGAATTGCTAGAGATCGTAGGGAGTTCCTGGGGAGGTGGCGCGTTGCTGGTTCCGTGGAAGAATACTTGAGGACTGCTGCAAGAGTTGTGCACCAGATACAACAGGACATTGTGGTGGGGCTCAAGGCAGATCTGACCTGGGACCTCAGGGATGCAGGTTTGGATGAGCTGGGTGACTTCTTGAAGGAGAAGGGGTTGACTCAGCCTGAGGTTGAAGAGCAGCGGCACCGCTTGACCTGCCCGGAAGGTGCGTTTGTGTGCAGCATTGAGGAGGAGACTCAGGCACTGGAAGTGGCTGAGCGAGTTTTGGATCATGACCCACCACAACAAGTGGAGGAGCCCCGGTCCAAGTATTTCGTTTGCATATCGGGGAAACAGAGAACACGGCGGCTCCACAAATGGGGGGGTTGCGGTTCCATCCCAGAGGTGAACATTGCTTGTTACGAGCCCCATGATGACCTTCGGGAGGTGGAGTATGATGATCATTGCCACCACTGTTGGAGGAATAATGAGGGGCCGCAAAGTGGCTCTTCTTCCGGTTCCTCGAGCACCGAGGAAAGTGACTGACGAAGTGTTGTCGGTCAAGGGGAGAAAATAGCTGCTGAACGGTATTTCGCTCTGTTTTTCAGCTTTGCGCGGCACGAGTGAATGCACATGCCCGACAGTTTGTGGCCTTGTGGGTGTGAGGGGCATGTGTGTTGATTGGTCACGCGATGGGCTCACAGCGAGGGCAGGACGAAGGGGCGAGTATGCCCCTGCCTGTCTGCAGGGGCGGCGTGATTGAAGCAACATCACATGTCCACACATAAGGGTTACAAGTTGGTCTTGAGTGGAAATGCCTTTTTGCACGAGAATTCAGTATTTTTCCGATTTGCGCTAGTTTCAGCGATGCCTTTGATAGCCATGACGGAGGGTGAGAGGGAAGCAGCGATGCAGGCTGCGTCCTCGGATATCCGTTACCATTTGTCGCAGATGGATGTGCCGAGACCTATTCAGGCTGCCTTATTCCATAAGGGATTCACAACCTTGAGGTTGTATTCAAATATGGAAGATACCAAAGCCGGTATGCGAGAGGCCATACATGATGAGATTGGTATCAGGGCGGCAGACGGAGGAGATGCGAGGAAGAACGTCGCCTTGCTGCTGGCCGCATGGGATGCTGCACATGTTCAGGTGGAGGTGGAGGACAAGGCCAAGGCTGAATCAGTCACGGGTCAAGGTCCAAGATTCATCCAAACAACTGAATATGCTGCAATGCGTACTGTTTTGGAGCAGAGGTATGGCACCTTGAAAGATGTGGAGTTGCCATCCAAGTCGTTCCTGGCACAGAAGCTGGAGCAAGTGGAATGCAACGAGCCTCGGGCGGAGGATCTGCGCGAGGCCCTCAGTTGGGGAGATCAAGATGTTGATTTGTTTGCAGGCACAGTGGATACTTCTACGGGCACGCTGAAGATCAGGCCTGGAAAGACATCGATCGCACTCCCCAAGAATGCCGAAGAGTTGAGATTGGTACACAGGAGGATTGCCCTCTGTTGGGAGATGGTTGCATCCAAACATGGGAATCGTCCGTGGTTGCCGCAGCAGCTCTTGGAGACATACAGGAAATTTAGTGACTTTGTCTTGGGCAAGCATGTGGGCACCCTGATGTTACCGGGTGGGGTCGAGATCACTCCGCAGTGGTCGCTTGTGCTGTCCTATGAAGCTGAACTGCGGAAGAAAGCTTACGAGTACATCCGGGAAAACACCCACCCGGATATCGCTGCGGCCCTAACTGCGGTTTGCAAGGCCACGGAGGTACACCACATGCATTTCCTGGTTCCATTGACCATGCAGGGGCACAAATCGAACAGATCAGCAGGTGTGCAGGAGTCGACTCCTAAGAGGGTGAATCCAACACCCAAAGCACAGCCATCCGCGGCGTCAGGAGCCAAGAAGGTGCGGTACAATACAGATGATGGCAAGCGCATATGTTTCAAATTCAATGGAGCAGGATGTCAGGGCAATTGCGGTTTTGCACATGTTTGTCAGCGATGCCTGGGCCCCCACAGTCGCAAGTCATGCCCAGGCAAACAGGGCACAGGGGGGACCAAGCGTAAGGACACTGCAAGATCGTGACAGGAGGCGAGGCCACCAGCCTGCGACCCTGGTGGCCCGCCCCAACAAGATGCGCAGGTCGTGCCAAGAGCAACGCGAATTTTTCGGGTTTGCTATGTTTTTGCAGGGGCGCCACGCAAGGCTGATGTCCGAAGTTTCTTGCAAGAGCTGGCGAGGCGTTTCGAATTCACATTGACCTTGTATGAGGTGGATCTTCTGCGCTGTGAAACACATGATGTGACTGATACCCGCTTCTTTGAGGACCTGCTCAAGCAGGACTTCGATGCATACATGATTTCACCACCGTGCTCCACTTGGAGTCGAGCACGCAATGCGAACAAGAAAGGCCCTCCGGTTTTGCGTAGCAATGTTTACCCTTGGGGCTTTCCTTGGTTGAGAGGAACAAGCAAGGATCAAGCTGAGTTGGGCAACGAGTTGATTCGATGCGCTTTCAAGCTTATTGAGACCGCCATTAGCAGGCATGCGTTGTGGCTGCTGGAACATCCAGAGGACTTGGGAAACTCCAGGTCAGGTTGGCCAGGGTCTATTTGGCAGCTGCCCCAGTTGAGGACACTTGTGCAAAGGGCAAATGCGGTCACAGTGGCGCTGCATCAGTGTGTCTTTGGGGCAGACTACAAGAAACCCACCCGACTCGCAGGCAACTTGGACAACATGGCTGCTTTTGGGTGGACCAGCTGGCCTCAAGTGTCAAAGGATGGCCAATACAGGGGGCCTTTGCCCCGCAACTGTGGGCATGACCATGCACCCCTCATTGGCATCAACGATGAAGGGGTATTTGCCACGCAACCCACGGCTGCATACCCTCCAGCTCTTTGTGAGGCCATTGCGGAGAAATTTGTGCACTCTTGGCTTCGCTCACCTGACGGAGGGGGAAAAGTGCACAAGACCTTGATTTCAGAGTGTGACGCGGTCAGACCAGCTTCGGCAAGCCCAGGGAGTCAACTGCCACCAGCTGTGTTGCAGCCTAGTCCGGTTCCGGAAAGCAGCGCAGGGAGTGCCACCCCATCTAGCCCGGTGAAGACATTTCCTCCCACACAGGTGCAGGCGCACATTGACCAAGGGAGTGCTTGGGACGATTATTTCTTGGAGGCACCAAGGTGGGAGGAGCAGGCCGCGGGAGGTAGTGCAGCAGCTGGAGCCTTGGGGGGCTGGGGAGCCCCGCTTTCTTGCAGAGTGGCAGGCAAGAGGAGACCTTTTGCTGATGGGGCCGGGCTATGTTCGCCGGGAAGGTTTCTTCCCGAACAGAGATGGACATCCCTGCACAGACCGGAGCTCAAGATGGCAGAGGTCCTGAGAGGCCGGCTGCTATTGTTGTTGGCTGGGGAGTTTGACCTGCGGACTTTGGCCTTCAAGCTGGCGGCCAAGCGATGGGAGACATGCCCCTTCAATGAGGACTTGTTGGACAAAGCCAGACACTGCTGGGTGGAAGTTTTGCAAGCAGCAGGGGCGACAGGTGACCTTTTCGAGGTTTCAGAAGGACAACCTTTCTTCCTTCGGGCCCTTGGAGAACACCTTAGAATCTGCCTTGACCCAGACTGGCGTGTTCTGACAGAAGAGGAAAGATCCTATTCGAAGGGTTTGTCGCTGGGCGTCTTGGAGGAGTTGCCGGAGGTCCCAGCCGTCTTTGAGCCGAAAACAAAGCATCGCACCTACGCCGAGGAGGTCTATGAGGGAGAGAGGTCAAACTACCCTTCTGCTGCAGAAAATGCTCAGGATGTGGAGATGGCCTTTCACAAGGAGACGGAGCTGGGAGCCATGGTGAGGTTACCCGCCGACCAGGTGTACGCAGAGTATGGAGAGCATGTGCAAGTAGCTTCTCTGCCAGCATTGGTGAAACCGGACAGCTCCTTGAGGGTCGTTCACGACGCCACCAATGGACTGCAAGTGAACTCCAGGATTAAGATCAAGTCCCAGGTGGCGCTGCCGACAGCGGGTGAGATCAGAAGATCTCTGCAGGCCCTCGGACGGGCCACCTTCACCCTCTCGGCTGACGTCAAGAGGGCTCATCGTCTTTGCAAGATCCGGCGTGAAGAGTGGGGCTATCAGGCTTGCAGGACAGGCATCCAGCAGCCAGGCGATCCGGGGCCCATGCTCTGGCTGAACAAAGTCGGGACGTTCGGTGTGAGCCCGGCATCCTTCCACTGGGCGAGGCTCATGGGTGCAATTGCCCGGGCCACGTGGTCGTTGATGGGTGTCCAGAAGCTCATGCAGCTGGTCTACGTTGACGACATTGCGTGGCAGGCTGCTGGGCCAGCGGCGCTGGAGGACATAGTGCTAGCGTTGTTTTTCATGGTGGTTGTCGGGCTCCCGATCTCCTGGAAGAAGGTCAATGGCGGTGTGACGCAAATCTTTGTGGGCTTCCACTACGACCTGGTGGAGTATCGCATAGGCATCACGACTGCGAGAGCCGACTGGTTGAGCGATTGGATGTCGAGGGTGCTCACACATGGCATCGTGGCCATGGAGGATATGGCGTCCTTCTTGGGGAGGATGGCCTTCACGACCACTGCGGTGGAGGTCATCCGGCCGTTCCTGGGACCTATGTACGCCTGGGTCACTGCTGTCCCAGCCTCTGCAGTGTTACCATTGCCCAAAGCTATCAGGCTCCTGTTTGCATTCTTGGTACGTCAGCTGAGAGCCGGGCTGCACACTCAGTCGGTAGGGACAGATGAGCAGGGCCCGGAACTTTTCAGGACGGATGCCAAGGCGGAGGGGGAGGAGGTTTGGGTAGCCGGCTGGTGCTGCGCGGACTCTTGTGATCCCCGCGCATGCAGATGGTTTTCGGAAAGATTGGATAGAAGAAATTCGGCCTGGCTTTTCGAGGCAGGAGAGCCTTACAGATCAATAGCCACGTTGGAGCTTCTGGGGACAGTGCTGGCATTGAGAGCGTTTGATGTGAAGGCAAGAGGCCCTTCAGTCATGGCATGCTCGGCAGGCACTGACAATTTGGGGAACCGATTTGCTGTAGGCAAGATGATGTCTACAAAGTACCCCCTCAACATTATGCTCATGGAAGTAGCCAACGAATGCTTGAAGAGAGACTTGCAGCTCTCGCTGCATTGGCTGCCGCGTTTGCAGAACACGTTGGCAGATGCGCTGACGAATCAGCAGTTTGCTGCGTTCTCTGCTGAGCTCCGTGTGAGGGTGTGTGTAAGTGCTGAGGAAGGCACTCTCATGCATGACATGTTGAGCTTGGGGAGGAGCTTGTACGAAGACCTCAAAGAGGCCAAAAGCAAGAAATCGCAGCCATCACATAAGCGCAGAAAGAAGGAGAAGGAGCCGTGGTCTTGACGCACTTGAGCAAAGGGCGCCTGCGGTGGGGGAGGTTGTGACCGCCTTTGTGCAAGTGCGAGGGACCAGATGGATGGTCGGCGCAGTATACAAAGGAAAGGGCCATAGGCATTGCCTCAGGATCCGCACTCTCTTGTCAGAATTGACAAAGGAAAAAGAGACCACCTCCACTCGCTGTGCTGTGCTGTGTGTGAGAGCTTCTTGTGAACAGTCATGTTTAAGTGCTCCGCACGTCCGCTGTCATGTTTGGTTTCCCAGTTTGGGGTTTTCCGGTTCTGAAGTGGCCACCCCCGTGCGTGAGCGGGTTTGGCTACTGGGCCAAAGCTCGTGTGGTGTCCCCCCCCTAAGGGCCCCCTCGTTTGGGGGGGTTTGCCTCTGGGATGTTTGGGGCATGTTTAACTGGCTGTGAGTGCAGCCAGCTCCTCCCTTCTTCGTAGGGGCGTCATTCCATGGGTTCTACTTTCAGTGCCATCGATATGCCCTATCGCGACCGTTGGAAAAGGTACGCTCTTGAAGGGGTCCAGTTGATGTTTGAGTCTTTGGAGCAACATTCTTGATCGCCCCTTCAAAATTGAAGGTAAATTCGTGGAACCAATCACCAGGCCCCAATAGTTGTCAATTGGCCTGTTAAAATAGCAACCAATGGTCACACCACTGATATCGGAGGATCCGGGTTGATTGTCCCCCGGTTGACTTTGATTCCAACAGTCTGTGTTTTTTCGAGGGCCCCTTTTTGGAGGGACACCAAGAGGCAAACCACTGTTTTGGGGGTCCAACCCTTTAACAAGCCAGACCCATATCCCATCCCATGTCTATTTTTAAAGATCCATTTCGCCAGCCAGAAGGATGGCGAAGGGCAACCAGAGGTTTGTGATTTGTGATCCCGCGCCGGCTCAAAGGAAGCCGTTAGGTTGGTTTCGATTGGTTTGGATTTGGATTTGAACCCAACGAGGGTTAAGGGAAGACCACTAGCCGGATTGTTTGGATTGACTATGTGGATGTTTATTTGGATTTAACTTCTTGTAGAGGGTCAATGGAAAAGCCACCCATTGAAGCTGAAGAAGCTGGTTCCTATTGGTAAGTGTTGGGGTGGGTGTTTGTTGTCAGGGACAAAGAACCCTTCTTGGCGGTTCTCCAAATAGGAATCGGACCCCTTTTTGGATGATAGGGAAGAAAGCATAAGAAACCACCTGGAGTCCTCATTTAGCCCAGCCCCAAAAAGGGGTTTCTCAAAATAGGAACGGGACCCCTTTTGGATGGTGGGGAAGGAAGTAAAGGAAATCTGGAGTCCTCATTTTGAGAACCGGGGTCTGAAAACGGTTTCCCTTGCTAGTGCGATAGGCAATTAAATGAGAAATGGAAGGACCCCTTTTTGGATCGCATCGATCGCAAGTCACCGTTTCCTACCGATTGAAGGAAACCATGCATGTGTCATTTCCTACCGAAAAAAACCATCCCCTGTTTTTCCCTGTTATGAGGGAATCCCCAAATGACCCCTTTTTCAGCCATCCCCTATGGTTGCCTTTTATTCGGGAGATTCCCCGTAAACGGCTCGTTCCAAAGCCAATGTCCCGCCGATTTCGCGTCCCAAAAAGCGCTCCCCTCAACCTTTGGGATCGCCGCGGGATTTCAGGCCCTTGCCCCTGGCGGATGAGACCCTGGCGGCGAGTCTCAAGGCCAAGCCGGGGTGCAGGGTCCCCCTTGGGGATGTCCGAAGGCTCCGAAGGCTCCGGACCCAAAGTTCTGGGGGCCTCGGAACCAGCCATCCGGTTCCTCAGGTTTTTAGTTGGCGTCATGGTGTCCATTTCAAACAAGAGTCAAACTTCTAGCAGATCCGAGGAAAAAGCCGCCCGCAATTGAGTTCTGGACCTTTGCCTGCCATTCAAAGCAGTTTTTGAAAATGCACCCCCTTTTGCCTCAAAAAAAGAGAGGACCCCCAGCAATCATGTAGCTAATGGACTTGGAGAAACCCGTGGGGGCGTTTGTGCCGGCGTTTTGTTGCTCCAGGAGTGCCGCAGAGCCCTGCGGGCAGAATGGCTGAACCGCGCCGTGGGCGATGACGAGGTCAAAGCCGAGCATTGGAAGGACCGAGCGATTGCCAGCCGGGCGATCACCGGAGACTGGAATCCACAGGGCTCCGTAAAAGAAAATCATTTTGCCAGCCCATTTGAAACATGTTGTTTTTTCAACAAGATAAAGAAATGGAAACCACCATTTACAAGTTGTTATGTTCAGGTGTATAACGTAAGGATCCCTGGAAAACTCCCGCCAAGACCTGGATACCATCCTGGATCGCCAGTTGCGATCGCTTTTTTCCATGCACTTTGCCCCAAAAACCAGCAACGGTGACTGACAAACAGCAACTTGGCTATCTAGGATGTTTTCTTTCTGGGTGCTGTGTAGACTTGGATGTTAGGACTTTAACTTTTTGCCAACGAATGTGTTTTCCAATAAACCACTAGAAGTTAAACTTTTCGCAGGGGAGCAGAAAGCAACGCGTGCAGACCGGGGTCCGGATATCTGTGGATAAAACATCGGCATTTTTCGGCCAAGGGCCTGAAAGTTGAGTCGTGGGCGAGACAAAAATACTGACTCCCTGTGAAGGGAAGCCGACTGCCCCTGTCCTCCTTCAGGATTTGAAGGCGGCCATCAAAGATGACGAGAAGGCGGGAGCAAGGCTCACTCTTTACGGATCTTTGGGGGGGGAACAATGGATTTTCCATCGGACCCACAAAAAGTGACACTTTTGGCAGAGAGGTCAACAGCAACCTCTGGCATTGATGTGTTTGTGAACCCCTTAGTGTCATAGAGAACGAACCACGATGCCGGGCTCGCTTCTCCCATTGGACAGGGCCCTTGGGCCCTGGATCCTACCCACTCCCCAAGGCCAATGAACCTTCCGACCACAGTGAATGAGTGAGCAGGGCAATAGACGGGTCGGAATATTTGCAAGAAAAACGCCATGCAGGTCGAAGTCTGGATTTGAAGTACCAACCCCCATTCTACCTGGAGTCTCTATGGCTCTTCA